TTCAACAAGTACATTATACTGTCAGCAAAACTCTTAGCAGCTAAAAGCTCTCACTTACTCTTGGAACCAAGTGTAAAAACATAGCTCTTTTCAAAATTAAATAAGACAGACTGAGAGCCTGGCATGCAGTCATTCAGGAGACAGGACAAGCTAAATGGACCTTGTTCGTTACACCAAACTGGATAATGGGATTTCTTAAGTGATTCCAAACTGTGGAAGTATAAAGCCCTTCTGTGCTATTTGTCATAACTATAGAGGATTATTATTTCACAGAAAGCATGTGCTAAAAGTCAACGAGTTAAGGCCCGAACCAGGAGCGTCTGACCACTATGCAGAGATATCAAAACTACCAACATAGTACAGGTTCTATGTTGAACTCAAGTTCTAAAGTATGATGAATTTTTTAGCATAAACAATACTAAAAAACCTTCAATAACTACATTTGTGTATAAATAGTTCTAGATGCAAAGGAAATTGATTCATTTTATCTTTTATCTAAGTTGGAAGAAAAAAAAAAAGCAATGAATCAAAGTAGTTTTGTTCTAAATTAAAAGACAAGAAGTCCAGATTAAGCAGATGAATACTTTTAGGGGTTTGGTATGTACATTATGTATATATTAAAGTTGAACCATCATTGTAATTGAAATAGAGCTTGAAACAATCATCATGTAAATTTAAATATGTTTTATAATTCTAATAAAGGGGAAATGTCTGGAGGATATCTTGATTTTCATAATTTAATTTGGAAAAAGTAAGAAAAAAGGATGTTTTTGTTCAAGAACAGATTCTGAGCAAAACTAGCAGAGAACATAAGTATACTTAGTTACTTGACACGTCTGGGTCTACCATATGCGTCTTTGCATTTAGGTTTTTTATATCAAGTTTCCATGTTCAGGAAAGCTAAATAAATGTCAATTAAAGTCAGAAATTCAGCTTGGAACGTTAGAGGGGTGAAACCGGCTGTGACCTCAAAACCTAAAACAGTTGCTGAGCTCATATTTCAGTCATACCAGCAGTAGTAAAATAAAATGTTACTTCCTAATATATAGACCTCTTCTATTGTTTAAATCAGGCATCCCCGAAGTCGGCCCTCGAGGGCCGCTGTCCTGCAGGTTTTAGAGGTTTCCCTGCTCCAGCAAAGCTGATTTACATTGATAGTTGATTAACAGGCTTTTGCTGAACTGCATTTATCAGAATCAGCTGTGCTAAAGCAGAGAAACCTCTAAAACCTGCAGGGCAGCGGCCCTCGAGGACCGACTTTGTGGATGCCTGGTTTAAATGATCTAGCCTGGTCAGCAAGCACAAGAGTTGGCAAATCCTTTTGGTTTTGTGAAAGGCAAATGGAAATTGATTATGGTTGTTGGCTTCAAATGAAAAATAAACTAAAATAATTTTGTCATTTAACAAAGTTAAATTAGTATGTTACATTGCTAATCTATTGGGAAAAAACATCTTAAATAAGAGAACAGGCTCCTCAATCAGATTGTTTTGAAAGGCTGGAAAGCTTGGCGTCCTTGGATTGAATTTTCTTCTGCAGGTGACTGCTTATCATCAGCAGATGATTTAGTAAACCAGCCCCCATCTTCCTCCCTACTTGTGATTCGCTCAACTATTTGACCCGCTGCCGTCTGCACCAGGGTAAAAAGAAAAAAAAAAAGGTGTAGCATCCCCTGCAGACATAGAGGGAAAGACGCATGGCTCGCAAATGAGACAATTAGAATGTAATCCCTGTCACTGGTGAGTTGGAGGATTTAGGCGATGGGCCTCCTAATTACTAGAGTTATTGCTTTGCTAAGCTTGCAGTTATTCTGAGAGCTACCGAAGAAGTTACTGCATTAATCTTTAGGATTGATGGATGTGGAGACAAGGCTACTGGGGATTGGAAGCTCTGTGTTGAGTCTGTGAGCTTTTGTTCAGCAGTTCTTTAAAACTTTACCATCTGCAAATGATCAGCAGGGGATTGTTTTCTGACAATGGTTTGGTAGAAACCAATTTATTTTGTTTGATTTACCAGAGTACTGTTGAAAGAAATATCAAGTGAATAACTATCTCCAATTGCATTACTAATGAGGTATTTGAAATATTCCTTTCTTTGTTGTTTTTTAGTGTTACATAATGTTCAGATGTTTTTATCATTGCAATTGCGAGAATTAGCAGTTTTATTGAGATCTGAAAAGTAGAATTCACTTTTCACTATGAATCAGCTTAAAGTATGTGCAGCTGTTTTGTAAGCAAGTGTATATATGCTAGGGGATATGAGTCAAACTTGAGGACTGTGGGCCAAATCTACTGGTCACAGCTTTTTGATAGGCCCTCATAGCCAAAAAAGGCAAGTCATGTCATAAAGTAGAGCCACATGTTCTATTAAAGTGTGCAAAAAAACAAAACCGGAAAAAAAAATGTGAAATCAAGTTATAATATCAGAGCAGTGCGAGGTTTGAATTTGAAATGATGAAATCAAATGTTTTATCTGTAGTGCTCCACCTGTCCTTTCAAAGACTTGATGATTTTAATGTGGCCCAGTATAAAATACTTAATTTGACACACCTTGATAGCAGTCTCATATTCTTTTATCGTCATATGTAAAGATCCAATAACTCTCCTTATGAACAGAAAAAATAAGATCTGTTGCACTCTGCTCCAAAGTACTTTACTTAGATCAGTAAATAAGTAAGATAAGTAAGATGGGAATAAAAAGTGAACGGACAGAAATTATGCGTTTTCTACGCATACTGATCACATTAAATGCTTAAATCATGGCCACATTTACCCAGTCCATATGTATATCCTAAAGCATATCAATAGGACACTTGAGGGCCTGTGCTTTGCCCTGGGACACATCAACATGTGACAAAAGGAGCCTGGACTCTGACCCTCAACCTTGCAGTTGCCTTATGTTTCGCATCTTACTGCAGAAATAGAAGGTGATGCAGTCCGGAGGCTGAGATGAAGGACACCATATCCAATCAAATGTCCCCTCTCCTACAGCTCAAGTTGGCCAACCTCTGCTCCACTCAGAACATATTCAAACATTTCCTTTACTGTTTCTTCAGTATTGTTACTGTATTTACAATTAAAGCTTAATAGAGCCAAAAGAAGCTAGTACCAGAACTGAAAAAGCAGTAATGGAAACATAGGAATTGGTGGAGTGCAGTAGAGCCAGGCCAAGTGGAGCCAAAGGAAAAGGGGCAAAAGCCAGTCACGGCAGCAAACTTCCCACTTCTCAGTCCTATGAAGCTATAGGGGGGCGATAGCTTCATCCTCCACCAGAAATTTTCACTTGTTCAAACAGTCCTGCTTTAATAAGCATGGTATCACTGAGCTTGTTTAGCTAGCACACTGGCCTGGCTCAATAGTCCCATGTAGAACCTATTGAGTACTGTAAAGATAAGTTTCTCCATGTCATGCTGCACTAACACGTGCAAAAAGAGCAGCCATCACTGCCGGGATGGTACATTATCAGTAGGTCAACATTGTTGTATTAAAATGAACCTTTATTTGTCTTTATTTGATTTCTTTAGCCTCATCCTATACACATTAGAATTGCTCAGATACATATTTATAAAAGTTATCTTTACTGAGTGACATATAGAACCGTAATATAAGAACAGATCTAAATTAAAAAAAATGTAGGCTAGATTTGAATGTGAGCACACTAACAGTGCTAATGAGCATCTTCTCTACTTTCACTACTCTGTTAGAAGAACATAGCTATGCTTTATTTCAGATTTCGGAACCTAAGTCTCCACAGACTGTTTATTTTTTTTAAATAGGTGGATGGCCCAGTAGATTAGGTAACATCCTACTTCAAGCTCACACAGGTCATACCTGGGCTGCAATGTTTAATATAAGAAACAATAAAACAGTTGGAAAAAAACATAAAAGATTGTTGGACAAAATCTCTGCAGAAATCAACAGTTGACCTTAATCCATTTCGTCCACAAAAATCAACTCACTGTTTACATTTTCCCTGCAGGCATGTCTCTGTGTTATGCTGACATATTTCACACACTCATGCGCTCTATGGAGACAGAACACATACTGTCTGGATCGCTAAAAGAGGTTTATCACAGAGGATCCCTCAAATTTCCATTCAGTGTTATCTCAATGTAGACGGCCTGGACTCCTGTGAGTCCAGAAATTCTACAAATAAAAAAGAAAAATTTCCATCTGATCTGTTTTAATTTACATTTCTTTTTCAGGAGAATGTGTTCAATTCCTCCCACCTCACGGTTTGTATAAGCAAGATAACTAAACATAGGCAATATACCAAAACATGCTGTTTCTGTTGACGCTGTGTTGTGAGGCTCTGGAAGTCACAGCAGTGTTGATGTTGAGAGTGGAATTATGGTAAGAATGTGGAGCGACGTGCCGGGGCAGACTGTACTTGGTTGTTTTGTCTTGGTGGTCTGAGGCTTCTTAATAGTCGTGCTTTGCTTCTGGAAAAGCACTGAGCTTCTTGGATTGATTAAATATCCCCAAGATCCAGCATCTGGCGGCTCTAATACATCACATACGTCCCCAGTGTTCTTAGGTTAACACTGGGATCAAGTGCCGCCTCTTGATCACCCATGGAGAGAAATACCACACAGAAGCCTCTGGTGTACTCTGGGACAGTTTGTCCATTCTGTGCAATAGCAAAACTTTAGAACTTTGCTAATACAAAAATAATGTTGGTAAACCGCAGGAAGTACATTTAGGAAAATATGAAAAGTCGCACTCAGAAGTTTCAAGACTTTTAGTTGAAAAAATGAGACATCTATTTTTATTCAGAAATAAGCTGGTGGTGAATTTTTGCTGCATAAAGGACAAAACTAAAAAAAATAATAATCAAAAAGTCAATGAGGAGCTAGTTTTCCTGAGTCATTAAATTGCAAATATTCCAGCTCTTTGACCTCTAAATGGTGTGTAAAACACACTAAACTATCTGCATCATTACAAGAAAGTATGTTTAAAATGAATGAGGGTTAAATGACAACACAAGTCGTTTCCAGTCCCTTTTCATGTCCAATTTATTTGAAGTTACACAGTCAAAATTAGCTTAAATCAAACCAGTTGATTTCAGAGCAATCCAATCAGATTCAAGAGATCATTATAACCAATTATATTGGTTATAAACAAAGCTAAGTTTGTTTTTGATTGATAGAGCAAGCTGAAGAAGGCACATCCACAGATGGGACATGCAAGTGTCACAAAAAAAGCACAGATTTGCACCAGACAGAGTAAAGTTCAAGCAACTGCAGTACTTGGTCTTCTAGCCCTGCTTTGCATGCAGAAAGAATGTCATGATGAGAAATATGCACAGCATGGTTTTTAAACACTTGCACTTTCTATAGTAACTACTCTCCAGTAGTTTTTGTATTATCCTTAAACTGATGCTATCTGTCTGTAATTTAATCTCAGCATTAATACAGCTAATCTGTGAAGATCTGAGATGTTTGCTACAGTAGATAACATTAATAAGAAATGCATTTCTGGAATATTGAGACATTTAAAACATGGCTAGCTTATAAAAAGATACCTCACCATTTGATGGAGATTTCTCAATCCATCATGCAAGAATACTAAGGGTATGGAAGACCTCCCAGCCTACCAGGACATTGCCTTCCATTAGCAGAGTTCTGCAGCTCAGGTGGAGTAATGCATTCCACACATCTGGTTGAATGGTGAAGCAATAAAGCCAGTGTCTAAATAAAGCTATTATAGCTCCTGTTTTGAGTTTTGCCATAAGCCATGTAAAGGAAAGTAAAAAGCATGAGACGAGGTCCTATGGGTCAAGTAGAGACACAAGTTTAACTTTTTGGCCCACATGGAAAACCCTGTATGGGACATAAAACCATCTTCAGCTCCTATTTGGCCTGTGCAGCCTTTTGTTCCTTTGGCTCTCGCCCGCTGTGGTACAACAATATTAAGCAGGCATAGGGCAGAGGTTAGGTACACATAAAGGCAGGTTTTTGTCTGCAAAAACACTTGTATAATCATACACTGGGCACACACAGCAGAAATCTTTCAATATGAGGTGTGATTACTTGTGTCTTTCTCTCTGTCCAGACCGCTGCACTGCAGGATGTTAACATCAGAGGAAAGTTCAACAAATCTGTGGTTAGTTACAGACATAGCTCCGGTCCTCGGCCCCGTGTGTATTTTCTACAAGAATGTAGAGCTTCTGAAGTTGTTTTGACACTTTGTGCAAGCTGCTGTAAGTTTTCATGTTTTGTTCCATCATTTAGGTGAAAAATTGTGCTTTGTGCTCTGTTATTTTGCGGTTGAAATTACAGTACAGACTTATATCATACAGCATGTGCTTTAGCTAAAAACGTCCAGTTATTATGATGTATGTTAACCAAAGTTTATTATAACAGATCAGTGGTTTTGTGTGTATGCTATGCTGTGTCAACACAGTTTTGCAGAAAGTTGTTTGTACTCTGGCACTAATGAAGAGATCACAATCTGAAAACGTGTGTAGATCTATTGTGGTTGTATTCCAGCATTGATAAGAATCTGCTAAGTCTTACTATAAATCAATACAACTTGCTGCCATGCAGTCTCTGCATGGGCGCAGCCACAAGCATCCCTGAGTTATATAACTGCAATTTAAGGCAGAAACAGACATTAATTTGTCTCAGATTCTGATGGCCACAAAGATGGACATCAACACAGAGTTCTGTAATCTTGATCAGCCTGAAAAGACTCCATCTAGCAGTTAAACTGTTTACAGATTTTTAAAGAAGACTATTACCTCTGAAAGGAATGGCTCTTTGTGCTTGCAAGGTTTGCTAGACTGTCTACAATTATTATAAATATTGAGTACATGGTTGGAATAATACATTTACAGTAGATTCTCATATGGAGATTGTATTTTGGATGAACCTAAAAATTTGTTCAGTTGAAAATCATCTTTACGGACATTCCTTACAGCCAGGAAGAGAAACCATGTTTTTCTTTCACCACCCATGTGCTGTCGATCACTTTACCATACTGGAAAAAAAACGAGATGGTTTCTTTTATTATTTATGGAAAAGTGTTCCTTCATAAAACGCAATCTTTTACTTTTGCCATGCTGGTGCACATGTTGTTCCACGTGTGCTCACCTGGTCATCGGAGACCTGCTCCAAATAAATGTGGGTGGCGTTAACCACTTGCATGCGGCTGTACCCATAATCAGTGCTGCGGAAAGCGCTCCACTCCTTTGGGTTTGGATTGAACCTGTCAGTCCTCTCTCTGCAGCCCTGTGGAAGATCCAGCAATGCTTAAATTGACTAAGATGAGAGATTCACGCTTTTTTGAAACGCCTTCCTAAAAGCCCTGTTTAACTTGTGGCTGTGCCTCAGTGTTGGTCTGGCAGCATCTTGATATGCTGATGACTATTCCCTCTGTGGCTGGTTGACAAAGTGTGCCCGGCGCGGCTCTCCACCACATCAGAAAACACTCACCAAGAGAAACAGCTGGTTCTAAACTTTTGTGGCAGACCAGCAGCTGCACATACAGAACTGTGTACAATACATGACAGTGTTTTTGTTTACATTAAAAAATTGATCTGCATGGAAAATGTTCACAATGATGCAGTAATGTGAAAGTACTTACAGCAGAGCCTGTGATTATATGTACTGGAGCCTTTGGGTTTACATAGGGCTGCTCTTTGCTTCCATTGTACACCTACAATGAATAATGAATATTGTGTTGAAAATCACGATAACATTAGTATGAGAACTGGAATATTTAAGGAACTGACCTTGTCCCCATAGACAGGCCAGAGTCTTTCATAGGTGTGTTCATGTGCCCACAACTCTAGATCTACCCCTGGAAAAAATGGAAAGTCAGAGTTAAACAGGTATTAAATGTAAATATATAAACATTTAACAGAAATGCAGATTGATTTAACACATTTTAGAACCCCACTGCTAACTTCACGTAGGGATTTTTGGACAATAAGCAAAAGCTTTCCCTGTCCATAAAATTAAATAAAAGAAAGAAATGCAATGCGAGAAAATCTTTCAACGACAACGTCACCCAGTCCAAACTTTTAAAAATCTGACTTTATTTTTTCCCCCTTTTGGATACTTTTTTAGGCTGTGCAGAGCAATTACAGTCATGGTTGAAAGTGTTGGCACCTAATAATGTTTTCCAAAACGTATTTTTCCTAGAAAGGTTTTACACATTTGTGTATACATATGTGTATTCACTTAGGGTGCATTGGAGTGACAAAATAATAAAATGAAAAATTCTAGAAAGCATACAATGCATACAATTGTGTTTACAAAATGACAAAATAAAAAAAAATCTAAGTCTAAGTAACTCAAAAAAAGCAGAGAGCAGAAGCCTCATTTGAAATCATTTAATGCAAGACTCTTTTTAAGGGTAACTTCTACCAGCATAATTTTAAAGATCTATATCAAGACTTATTGCAGATCACTCAGCACCTTGTTTCCATTAATTTACAGATGCTCTTTGACTTATGTCTGAGGTCATTGTCCAGGAGGACCTATGGCAAAGGATAGAAACCCAGTTTCCAACAGTTCAGTTCAAACACGAAGTGCCAGAGGCAGCAAAAAGACACTAAAATGTTTCATCTCCACCATTTTAAATTGTAGGCACTACTGGTTCCTTTCTTTGTAGGTGTGATTCCATTTTCACGTTTTCACAAAACAGAAGTCCATAAAGTCCTGCAATGAATGACTCTGTTTAAACAAGCATTCAATGTAACCTACAATAAAATCCCGAAGTAAAACAACACATACTCGTGGTTAGTGCAAAGGAAAATGTAAACAAAATTGCAATCACAATATCAGTTGGAAGAAAATCCCAATTTAGAATTTTTTGGGTGAACAGTAGGAGGATGTGCTTTACAAAAAGCTCTATCTTAGTTTCATATTTCTATAAAGATTTTCCCATATGCTTGCACATAAATTCTGCCAAACTCCAGAATAGTTTTTTTTATATGTCTGCACCAGCAGTGTGCTCCTTCCATAACGTTTAATATTCAAATGTCAATAAATACTAACCACTGAAACCATCTGTGTTATAGGCAAGGCTGTGACCTCTTGGCTGATTCTGAAACGGTCTCTTTAGAGGTAGACTTGTAACCTGGACAGCTTATATTTCTTAGGAACTTGGCTGGGTGTGGTACATAGTCATTGTAAATGTCCTGTAATGCTTGGACCTTTCAAGTTCAAAGCACTCTGCACTACGTTCAGTCATGCACTCCTTCACGCACACACATTCACACACTCATATTGGACCACCATAAATAGGTAATATGGGTGAAGCGTCTTGCTCAAAGACTAAACTGAGGTTTGAACAGAGAACCCTCAAGTTGCAGGATAAACTTCTACACCGCCATTGCCCCAGTAATGATTATCCACAATCCAAAATCTACTGGGTTCCAACTTTTAATCCTTTCACTGATGTGCATGAGTTTTAAACTACCTGATTATATTTTGCACCATGGTCAAATTCAATATCTCTATGGGTGGACTTGTAACTTTGACATTGTTAATATTTTTTCCACAAATTGGGTTCTGAAATCTTCTTTTCTCCTCTTTCTGTTCTCCATGTTTTTTTATTGCACACAGACATACAATACAAAGACTAGTGGGATTTTTGTATTTCCAACACCTTTCTTGCAACATTTAAGCTTAATTGAACACCATTTGCTTAAAACAATATTTTTTCCCTTTAACTTAAAAAAGGTACCTACAAAATTGTGAAATTGTGTCATATTTTAGCATTTCTCTCTGCTTTTCTGTGTCGTTCTAGCACAAAGGAAATAAACATCAATCTTTCAACCACGACAGTGATGCACAATAAAGAGCTAATGTCACACTGTGCACTTACCATATTGATAAAATAGATCCTCAAGACCAGGAGCTGGTGGTTTGATATCCGTCCGTCCCACTCTGACCTGAAGATATCCAAAAAGCATAGATGAAGTGATCATCCCTGTAGCTTTACCTGCTCTATTGGTAGCACTTAGGGGGTTCCTTCCTAGCATTACTAAAGATAGTGCCAAATGCAAAGAAAGCCAAGTTAGAGGGAAAAATCTATGTGGTCCAAATTATGACAATGATAACACAAATGTCAGTGCACTGTGGTATTGTGGTGTGACTTGGTCAGTTTGAAGAGTATGTAAGAAATACCTGTGAGGATAAAGAGCAGTTTATCATAAAAAAAACATTGTGGGACCAGCAACTGAACGTACCCAGGAGTCATACTTAGTACAGTCATCCTGGTCGTCATCAGAGCAGTACATGGGTCTGTGTCCCATGGTGATGATCCATGGACGCTTGGCTCTGTTCTCTGGCTTGTTAGCTTCCTATATCAGGATCCCCAAAAAATCAAAAAAGGGTAAAAAAAAAGGAAGCAGGTTTGTGTCTAAAGGTAGTGTGGACGAGTAAACTTTTGATTAAGAGAATTACATAACAAAAAAACATACAATTCAATTTTTATTGGAAAATGATTATTTCTAACCTCCAGATCATCCTTCAGCCAATTGTACTGCTTGAAAATAAGATCCATCCCATACTCGAGGTAGAAATAAACTTCTGTGGAGAAGGAGATGATGTGTGCCGAGCCCAGGTTCCAACTGCAGACACAAAAGAAAAAAAAAAACAGATATTCACTGTTGAAAACCAATGGAGAGTAAAATCTGGACAAAAGTTTAAAATTCATTTCAATTTCACATGGATTTACCTTCACTCAAAGAGATAATCAAAGACACTATATGGGACTACAACAGCCTAATGATCAGTTTACAGACAAATACATCCTGAACAGTCTAACTGAGAAAAGCAAAGGATTTCTGGGTTTATTTCTTAAGTTTTAGATAATAAATTTTTGGACTTTTTAAGTGAAATATGAATAAATGTAAGAAAAAAAGTATAGTATTAAAAGATTAATGTTTTAAATCCAAATGTTACTAGTTAAAAACCATTAATGGTAGCAAATAATGTACTAGATCATCTTGATTTTCATTGCCTACACATCCAGTTATTCAGTTTAGGATCAGAGTTAAAAATATGTTCTCGTCTTCCATTGTAGTCCTTCAAGTTTTATCATAGTATAATAACAATGTAATTCTTCTTCCATAGGTAAAATTAGTAGAACAAATTCATTATTAAAAATGAAACAATGGAAACATACCATTTTCAGACTTAACTTAATCTAATTTAAGCCTTGGGATTGATGATATATTTATATTTCAGATTTTTTTAAGACATTAATAAAGAATTAATAAATTAACTATCAACCGACCTTTGCAGAAATACAAATTATTTCTTTTTTGAAATTGGAAAAAAGTGTGAGATCTTCACTCAAGTCTTTATTAACATGAATATTTTCTACATAGATCTTCAAGTCCCAAGTTAAGTCCAAATTCAAGATATTCAAGATCTGAGTTAAGTGCCTAGTCCAAAATGTGAAAATGCTGGTTTCCAGAACTCATATCAATATGATTTAACCAATTATTTAAAATTTAGTAAGTCTGACAAAAAAATTAAGGTTTAGACTGTTTATTATGGCTTTCTTATTTTAGTGGATGTCTGCCTTGGACTTTATTGCTCAGTATTTGCAGTCCTATATATTCAACATAAATCATTTGATCCTTAGCCAAACCAGGCTGCCAAAAAAGTTTTTTGGTCATGTCAGAAAATGATGCTAAAGCTACTGGCTGTATACCCTACATATGTTACAGCATTTTCACAACTCCTACACAAGTATCATTTACATTAACAGTGATATCCAGAAATTCCATTACTTTCTCCTATGGGACATTATGCGACTGCTTTTTGTCGCTGATGAAAATGAACTTACCAAAGGATTATAATTACCCTCAACTGAAAGTGAAACTGACAGCATACCCTGATTCAATACAGCTCTGAGGAATATGTTAATAATTATGTAAAAGTTTGGGGAGGCACTAATAGTGCATAATTTGACCCATGTATATGATTAGAGCAACATTTCTCCACACTTAGACCAAGTTAGAGTGCATCTTTTTTACATTACACTAGCAAGATAGAAAACATTTTGAAGTCAGTTTTAAAAGAGATAATTTAAGCTTTCACTGTGCAACACTGGGTAACAGTGTATATATTTCCTCTTCCTTTTATTTTTTCCTATTGCAGCTAACAAGAACATAGCATACTTTTGGTTATTACTTTGCAGACCTGTTGCTTACTTAGCTAAAAAACTAACATTGACAAGACATAAATCAAAAAAGCATAGTTACTATTATTTAACACTAAGTTTCTAAGATATTTTGACTTTTTGCAAAACAGACAATTTTTACCCAACATTGCTTACTGTGCGTTTTTTTATGTAAATATCTAAATATACCTTTAGTGTCATTTCTTCTCTGACTGGAGCATAGAAACCTCACTATATCCCAACCTAACAAGTATATTGCTAAAGATCTGGGACTTCTAGATAAGCTCTGTAAGCTGTAAGGACCGTACTGGAAGGTTAATGTTTCTTAATTACAAAACACTATACCAGTGGTCCCCAACCACCGGGCCGCAGACTGTTACCGGTCCGTCGGTCATTTGGTACCGGGCCGCACAGAAAAAAG